CCCCTAAAAAAAATTTTTAAAAGACCAGTTCAGACCTCACCTTTCACATTAAGCTTTCCCTGATGGTACCGATAAGTGTGCCTACTCCTGCCTTGAAACTCACCCAACACCAAGTGTCCAAACCCCCCAACGGACTCTGCTACAATTTCTTCTGTTGCCTCTTGTATTACATAACTCAGGCATGTGACTTAACTCTTCAGCAGGAGGCCTTTGTGATGCTAAAAAAATCAGGTTTCCTTCTTCCATTTCCTCTACACTATGCAACATGGTTTGATTTGAAAGCCAACAATGAACAAGGGTGACAGAGATGTAAGTAGGACAGCCTGTCCTCACAGGGGCAAGTGGCCACTTCTGGGAGATTCTTCCTTTACTACAGCCTCAACATAAGGCAAATCCCAGCTCATCAGCCGACTAAGCAGTTGCTTCCACCACAGCATTCCTGTTCTTACAACTCTGCACTTCCGTGTGTCTCAATTTCTATTTTAAGATAGAAGTCATGACTTCTAGGATATAAAGATCCAGGAGGATTCAACCTATTATTAGCTTAAAGAGGGCAAGGCATTGATCATAAAAGATGTTCAAGGGAGGTTGCAAACCAGTACATATAATTTCAAACACCTCTAGAAGGATCTGGAAGGAACCTCAAAGAGACTATGGCTCAACTCTTCATTTTAAGCTATGGAAATAAAAGACCAGAAAGGGGCTGTGATCTGTAGAGAACCATCCAGTGAGCTGGTGACAGCTGTGAGTTACAATACTCATCTCCTGAGGCCTAGTCAAGTAGACTTTCCACTGTGCCATGCTGCCTTTCCCTGCAAAACACACAGTTATAAACAACAGTTTTTGCCATTAGACTCGAAGTCTGAAAGGAAAAGAAATCTCAAGAATGACCACACGTGAGTCTTTCGTGGTAGGACAATAACCATCTAGACAGGTCATATAGGGAATGAGCTCAAAGGGTAGATTTGAATAAAACAGCTTAAGTTCGTAGTAGCTTCCAGTCCAATGTTGGGTGAGATACTTCCCTCTCTAGGCCGGTTTCTCAGTTGTGAAGAAAGGCGACTACATGGTTTCTCAATGGGAAAGCTACTGGGGTTTTGACAGGGTCTGTTCTTCCTTAAAACCATCCCTCCGTATTGCAGGACACCTAGCATCCCTGACCTGAGGCCACTAGGTGCCAGTAGAGACCCCAGTCACTGTGACAACCAAAAAAAATGCTTTCCTACATTTCACACTCTCCCGGGTTGAGAATCCCAGGGGCTTGGGGAGCACGACAAGGCCCCCTGCCAACTCTGAAAGGCTGGCAGGAAGACACTAACAACCATCAGGTAGAGTGTAGGAGGATGTGTGCAGGCCTACCCATAGATGTCCAGGACGCCAATGAAGGAGTGTTGCTTGAGAGGCGTGTGCAGGGCCTTGTTGATGTGCTCCACAATCCAGCCGAACAGCTGGGCATAGATGTGCTTGGCTAGGGCGTTGCGGGCATTGACCACCTGCTGCAGGGACATAGTCTTGACGTAGGTCTCTGAGGTGGTGACCAGCTTTCGATGGCATAGCCAGTGCTCCATCTGACTGTGCTCCACCCCTAGCAGTCGGCAGAAGCTGTTCAAGTGTTCATCCTGAGGCTGGAAGAGACACGGGAGATGGTTTCAGGAGGGGAATGGAGAGCAAACCCGCCACCACGCCCTCTCCCCTAGGACAGAATGAGCCCGCCCAGCACGGTGGGACCATGTTTCTCCCAGCCACAGCACCGGCAGACTCACACGCTCTCATACGGATGAGCGGAGGGACAAGCGGAGCCCAGAAAATGTTGCTCAAACTCATTATTACACCAAATTATCAGGGCTGTAAAAAAACAAAAGCTTTCTCAACTTTTCCTATGCCCTCCCCTCCATGGCCAGCCAGCTGCCTAGTGACAGGCAGGAGAGAATCTGGGAGCAAAGGGAGCAGAATGAGAATTGATAATTTAGGGACGGATAATCCAGTAAGGAGCCAGAAGGCAGCAGTAACTGCACAAAGAAGTGCACACAGAATCACAGTGAACATTTAGTTTCTATCCACAGAGTCCCACCTGCAGTGCTGAACCCACAGCCCAAAAAGAAGTCCTCATGTGCAGGCACTACCCTTGACCAGCACCTGGTCTAACAGCTGCCTTAGCCTCAGTGACATTAAGCAACACATACTTGATGTTATTTTTTTTTTTTTTTTTTTTT